CAGCTTGTAGGCCATGTGCCAATTGGGGTCAGACTCCAGCATTGAAGAGTTGAGGGTGGTTCTGTGAACCTTTTCCCCTCCTCATCTTTAGAAAAGGATTCATCCAAAGAACCCATGACAGTAACTAACATATTATACCATAAGCTTTCATGGATTAAAACTTGCTTCATCAGATTCATGGAGTATGGTCCTGAGAAAAGAGCTTTGTGTCTTTATATAAAGAACAGAAATACAGAATCATAGGGACGGAAGGGACATTGGAGGTCTTCTACTTCAATTACTTGCCCAGGGCAGGAATCCTCAGACCAACCCAGACAAATGGCTGTCCAAAATTGTTTAAAATAGACTTCTCCAGGATGAACTGTCCCCAACCTGGCACTTCCCAACAGTTAACCCATCACCATGGTAATCAAGTCCATTAACTGATCATCCTCTTCTCTTTCCATGCACCGTTTCCAGCATTATAGACTTCTCAAGAGAGATAGGTCTTCAAATACTATGTCCCAAATATGATAATTTCAGCCTGATAATTTGGGCCTCAAATGAGAACTTTAGATTGATTTGGTCTTTGATACATTTTTTTGTTTTCTTGGCTATCTTCTCCAACATCAACATCATTGATATCCTTTCTAACTAGATTCCTTAATGTCCAACTTTTGTTTCCATAGAATGCAATGGGACAACTGTTGCCTGCATGATTCTGATCATGGGTCCAGATGTGTCATGGCATCTAAATATATTTTCCGTGGCTTTCATTGCTGCCTTACAAAGCAATAGATTGTAATTTATTTATTGACTTCTGGTTCCTTTACTGTTGATAGTTGATCCTAAAAGACAGAAGTTATCACCACTTCAATGTGGGAATCGTTATCATCAGTATGCAGATAATACCCAATCATATATCTTGACCTCAGGCTGGCCAAGGGAGACTATTAAGGTTCTGCCCCAGTGCTTGGAGACTGTGCAAGTTTGGATGGGGAGGATCTGTCTCTAAGTTGATCCTACCAAAACTAAGTGGCTGTGGTTGTTTAGGCCATCCAGATCTGGGGATGTTCAATCTCTGTCTGACCTTGGATGGGGTTACACTTCCACATTCAAAAATGGTGCACAATCTGTGTGTGTGTGTGGGGGGGGGTATCTTCCTGGATCCTGTTCAATAAGCAAATGGCAGCTGTGGCCAGGAAGGCCTTTATATAGCTTCATCTTGTGTACCAGTTGCATCCTTTCCTAGATTGGAAGGCCCCTCAGTCACTCACAGCCTGGTCACCTCATAGCTTGACTACTGAAATGATAGGGCTGCCCTTGAAGACGACCCAGAAGCTTCCATTGGTCCAGAATGCAGTTGTGCAGGCAGTGATGGGCATGCCTCAGTATGCCCAAGTAACACCTCTGCTTTGCAAGCTGCACCAGTTGCCAGTTTGCTTCTAGATGTAATTCAAGGTGCTGGACGTTACCAGTAAAGCCCTATATGGCATACAGCCTGCTTACTTGAGGGACCACCAATCTTCCATAGTAACTGCCTGACTGATTCGACCTGGCAGGGTTGGTGCGATCCAGGTTCCTTCAATTAAACAATGTCATCTATTGGGACTCTGGAAATGCACCTTCTCTGTAGCAGCACCTGCCTTCTGGAATGAAGTTCCCTCCAAAATCCAGATGGCCCCCACCCCGCTGGTGTTTCGAAGGGTCTTTTGTAAGAGTGAGGCCCCCTTTGGATTGTGTGAGTTTGTTTCTTTTTCATTCTTGTCTGGTTTTTGTCATCTTTGTCATCTTTGCTATCTTTTATTCCTTTATTCTATTATTGTATTTTTTTCTTTTTTAAATGTTTTTACAGGTGAACCACCCAGAGTGTTGGGAGTTGGGCAGCATAATAAGTAAATAAATGAATAAATCATATCTTCATTGTCAATTCTAAGGCTGGTTGCTGTACCTGTTGTCTAATATTCTTCTTTATATTTAATTTTACTTACATTACCTTCCTTGACTTTCATTATTAGAGCCAGCAAATCATTTTTAGCTCTCAAAGTAGTGTTACAGCATAGCACCAGTTAGTGATGTTTCTTCCTCCAATTTTAATATTATTCTCATTTTTTTCCAATCCAACCTTTAATATATATTTAGCATACAGATTGAATAAATAAGGTGTAAATATACCACCTTGTCTCACTCCTTTGCTGACCTAGGGCCAGTCTGTTTCATCATGTTCCATCTGGGCTGTGGCTTTCTGTCCTGTGTATAGATTTGTATGAGAACAATAAAATGTTATGAGATTTCCATTTTTCTAAGGGCATTCCACACCTTGATGTATTTAATATGTTCAAAGGCCTTCTTTTGAATCTGAAAGCTATCTGTTCAAATTGATTGCCTTCTCCTTCCTTTATTTCTATCTGATGCTTGCTGCATTGCGAATGGTCTACAGCAGTTTTTCTCAACCGTGGCAACTTAGAGGGAGATATGTGAACTTCAATTCCCACAATTCGCCAGCCAGCATTCTGGGAGTTGAAGTCCACGCATCTTAAAGTTGTCAAGATTGAGAAACACTGGTCTACAGAGTAACCTATGATAAACATAAGATGGTATATATTGGGGAGCATGCATATGCTAGACTGCTATATAAGCAAGAATATTAACATTAAACACATGCATGATCTATTAATTGACCACTGATCCATCAGGAAAAAAGAGAACTGACTAGCTAATAGAAATACTGTATATATAAGTGAATAGCTCATAGTGAATATCCATCATATTTACCAAGACTGTATGACATTTCATTATTTAAAGGGATACTGATGCATATTTTCTTATCTTGGTATGATACAAGCTCATCAGAATAAAAGTTTAATTATCCTGCTGTTTCCCCAGTAAGTGACCAATGAATATAACTACAATCCCTGTATTTGTTTTCTGAATAATCTTTGGGGAGGACTATAGCTGCTGTCATAATACATCAAATGTTAGAAAAATATCTGAAAGGAGAACATTGCAACCGTAAGAGAAACAAACTCATTTTCTTGGTAAGTATGACACCAAATGTAAAAGCCTAAATTGAAAGCAAGAGTATCCTGTTGATTTTCCCATCAGGTTTTTTCCTGATTAGAACAGTGATGGTGTCATAATGATCTGAGTTAATACACTAATATTGCTAATACAAACCCAGCATCATACTGCATAGTACACAAGTGTCATGCACCGTCCAGAAAGCAGTACTGAAAGGCAAATGCTTAAAAGTGCATAAACAGTGAGAGAGTATTACAGAAATGTTCTGGAAAGCAATAAGAAAATCTACCATATATGAACCAACATCATGAGCCAGAAGAGAATTTGTGGAAAATCGATTAGCTTTGCCAAACAATGCCAATGCCAAGTGAAGCTGAGTTTACCACCACTGGCTGAAGAAAAACAGTAATTAAAAACAACAGTTTGCGCTTATCTAGAGCCACTTTGATCTAGTACTTAAGGGTCCAGGCTAGAAACCAGGAGACTGTGAGTCTCAATAAAAGCTAGATTATAAACCAGGTTTTCTTTTTCAAGATTCCTGTCTGTATATGATCATCCAAAGTGAGTCTCACAATTATACGCTCTCCCAGATGTTAGATTACGACTCCTATTATCCCTAACCAGCATATCCACTGGCATGCTGGGATAATGGTATCTCTATCCAGCACATCTGGAAAACATTAGCTTGGAAAAGACATTCTAAGGATCAGTCTTTGTTCAATTTAATTATTTAAAAGAAAAAAAACAACAACCTCTATAAGCAATATTGACTGGTTTTTTCCCTATAGCCTTATGAGGATGAGTGCCTTTGAATCCTCTTTGGCCCTCATTCCTGGAAAATTTATTATGTACCTTTCCAAATCAGATAAGCAAAGGATATTTAAGTTTGGTATCTATGCCAACACTATGAACTTGGCATTAATTTTTTTAAAGTGTATTATTCATCCTAGAAGTAACAATCTACATTCTCTCACATAAAAATGGTGTATCCTTCTGTGCTTCTATACATCCTTGTATTAAAGATAATTCAAAAAAAGAAACCTACAAGCCTATTAAAATTAGTAGTGGTTTTTCATCTATCAAAGTGTTTCTGTTTTTTCATAATCAAAACAACTGCAGTCCAGATTAAAATGAAAATCTTCACAGTAACTATTGGTGAATTTATATGGGTAAAACTTTAAAAAGCACTATTTATTATCACAGTTCAAAATATAGTTTGGAAGTTTAGCTGTTCTGAGAAAATATTGCCCTCATAACCAAGTTTGCATTTCTATTAGTTGCTGAAAATAAAAAAAAAATTAGAACTAAAAATTGAATGCATATGCAATCATCATCAGTCTTGCAAATGAATATTTAAAAATCAGTTTTCAACCCCATCTCTTTAATGGCAGCTGGAGAGATCTAGCGAGAAAAAAAAAATCCCTACTATTAGATGGCTGTTAACTGCAAAGACTGCAATATAAATAAAGGTAATAGAACTTGAAGCATGATCATCATGCTCTGTAGGACAAGTTGGCCAATTGGTCATGGACTCACACTGGATGCAATCCAGGTGGATTGTGAAACATCGGATTGCAATCCTGGAGAAGTCTGTGGTACTTATTTCAATAGAAGTGCATGTTACCAGTTTAATTCTCCATGTTTTCTAGGACTGGGAAGAGATTTCTAAGGGCCTGTGTAGCATTCCTTTTTTTCAAGACTCTTTTCTTACTCATGTAAATACTGTACAGACAAACTTTTTCCCCTACCCATCACTGCAGCTATGATAGCAAGAGCACAAGGCATTTCTCAGTGTCTTTCCAAGCTCACAGAATTAAAGGACTGTGAAAAAGACATCCTCCTTTGCTCCTGTCCATGGTCCTCCCAACTGGGAAAGAAAAAGACCTCCACAGATTCACAATAAATGGTTTATTTCCAGATAGATAGGCAGTTGGAGGACAAGTTGTACTCTGTGGCTGCATTTTCTTTGTTGCCAACCAATCCATTCTCTCAATCTTTACCTGGTTCTTCTATTGGTTGTTTGGCAGTAGCAAATGCTTATACATTCTGACTTCAGGAGTCAGGCCAGATTATTTTAATATGATGTCAGGGTGGGATGAATGCCAGCAATCTGGAAAAAATCAGACACTAGGAGTAGTGATCAAAAAAGCAATCAGGATACAAGTGCAAAGAAGAAAGTAGGACCAAGGGGAAAAAAGGTCCGGGGCAAAACCAGAAATGATACACATGCTAAAGTTAAGGTAGGGCAGCCTGTTGCTGAGCTTCAACACCCAACCAATGCAGCTGAGAACTGTAGTTCAGCAACACCAAGAATGCCACAGGTTTTCTAAACCTACTACAAGTAAAGCTCCGTTGGAATATGAAGACTATAAACTTCTTTCTGCCCAGGATGAGCCAATAGTTAGTGAGAAATATTAATCCAAAATAGACTAGTTAGGTTTTTTTCCCTGAAAGAACCTCAGGGACAAAAGACCATCAGCAAATAAGCTACAATGTGGTTTATTTGGTTTTGGTTTGGAAAAATGTTGAACCAAGCTGTTATTGCCATTAATCTTTTTTGGCTGAGATCAGGGAGGGAGTGCTGAAATAACCCAGAGCAGAAGACAAAGAATAAACTCAGGGCTGAAAGATAGGAAATGGCAACAGACTTGCAGAAAGCTGAAGGAAGGAGAAAAAGATCAACCACACAGAATAAAATTTCAGTAGCAGCTCTGTAAGAGAGCTAATTTGTCAGGTAGTTGCAGGCAAGCTCAGAAAAGCAACAACAACAAAAAAATATGAATTTGGCACTTCATCTTACCAATGAGATCCCAAAGAGAAGGAATAGTTCAGTCTTAAGCTCCTGAGATCATCAATGAAATCTGGAGGAAGAATCAAGATAAGGACGATTAGATATTAAAATCTGCCTTGTGTTTTAAGTCAGTTAATTTTTAATAGAAGAAATAAGAGACTGTATCAGAAATGGCTGGTAGAAGTAAAAGATGAGTTTACTTATAGCAGCCTTCCAAGTCAGCCACCTTGTGAAAAAGTGTAGCAGAACCATTGCCAAGATCCTTAATATCTGAATCTGACTGTGAGGATAACCCAGTAAGTTATTCCTTGAAGTTTTTTTCCCATCGCTCCCTGGACACACCTCCCTTTATATCTTCAGCCTCAGAAGCCAGAAGTGAGACTTTCCCGGCTACCTCAAAGCCAAACTAACCACAGCAAATTTGGGTCTAAAAACGCAAGTCCCTTATCACTCAACATCTCCCCAACTCCTCTGGCTTTATCTTCAACTGCTCCTTTCCCCTTTACTCCAAGCCCCTGGCCTTGCCTTGTATTAGACGGCTTCTAGGTTTCTGATTCTAGCAGTTCTTAGGTTGCTTTGCATTCCAAATTAAAAGTCACTATCTTGTGGTCTAGGTACAACAAACAGCTGCTCCAACAGTGAGTCCCTATGCAACCCATTTCAATCACAGCCAGCCATTAAGATACGTGGCGAAACAGCCCACAAGAACTGATTTGTCACCTGCACAATAGAAGCTGAAAATGCTTACAGAAAATAAAGCCATCCTGCTTACCTTAGAAAAGACATATGGGATTAACAGATTTTCCACAGCAATATACACCTGAAACAGGATCCTGCCCAACTATCAATGTGGGAGTGGAGACAGTAGCTTCATATGGAAACTAATATTTCTAAGAAGGACCCATGCTATTCAGGGTCCTTTGGGGATGAAAAGTAGCATCTCCATGCATACCTTCAGGGAATTCTAGCACTTACCCAGAAATAGCTTTGAAATACTACTTGGAACAGTAAACAAATACATTTGAACTAATTAATGGAATGAATGTGAAACAGCATCACTTGAGTAGAAATTTTAATTTCATTGCAAACAAACAACTAATTTTCAAGAGACTACCAAAAAAAAACCCCACCCGTTTCCAGAGTTGAACCTTTATCATAATCACAGTCCCTCCAAAACACATGTTTAACTAAACTGAAGTTATCACCTCAGGTTAGCATAGTGACTCTGATGCAATAAACGCTAAATTAAAAAAAAAACTAAAAGGTGACAGCTTTTAAAAAACAAATCACAAAATTTTTCAGTTCTGGAACTTATTTGTTTCAACACCATGAGCATCACTGATCCATGCTGGCTGAGGAATTCTGGGAGTTGAAGTCCACCCATCTTAAAGTTGAAGAAGTTGAGAAACACTGGTCTATTAGCCAAGAGCATGGGAGAAAAACAGAACGATAGAAAATCAATTGGACTGGTACTAGTAAGGACATATTCATCAAAATATCCAAATATTTTTGCATAATAATAAAAGACTATCCTCTCCCATTCTAGTTCTTTCAGTGTTTGAATGCTTCTGATGCAAAAAAACCCCTTCCATTAATTCTTATATTCTATTAGTAAAATGCACAGCTGTACTAAACGGAAAGCTGATATAAACTTGAGATTAGTACCCTGGCTGATTTATTGGTAAGAACTAAGGTCTCAAAGATGGTACATAATAAACCCACAGATTCTTTGCAAACCCAACTTTTTCTATGGTGCTCAGAATAGGTGGCTCAGAAGAATGTTGATGTTCAGCTGGAGACCATGCTACAGCTTACATAGACTTAATACAGGAAGCCAAGAAATAGGTAAATGCAGACTAAAAAGGAGAGAGGATAAGAAGTGGTATTATAGACAGGAAATGAAGGTGGACTCATCAGTAAAGGTCACTGAATATAAAGCCCAGGACAGAAAAGGGATGAAAAGAAATATGCTTGTGGACATAATAGTTGGGAACAAGAGACTTAGGTTAGGTTCACTCACTGAGCTAAGCCACAAATTACTGTTTACAAATCACAATAACTTGGGTTGACACAACATTCCAAACCAATACTTGAACAAATCATATCAACAAACAAATAAACAAGCAAACTAAACAAATTTCTTTGACCACCTATCTAGCCAGTGGAATTCTGGGCAGCAAAGAGAAAATAAAAACACAATCTCCAATCAAAATCAATTAAAATGAACCAAGTTGAGAGCACTTTAAAAATCTCCTTACCAGCACAACAAACCTATACACATCAGGCTCCATTAACATCCTGGCCCCAATGCCTGGGGAAAAGCCAGGTGTTCATGGCCTTTCAGAAGGCCAACAGAGTCAAAGCTGTCCAAATCTCAGGGGGGAGATTGTTCCATAAAACAGGCACCAATACAGAGTGGGCATGCTTCCCAGGACCCCCCAGGTGGCATTGCTTCACTGAGATGATGCCTATTCTGCCAGATCTCTTGGGATGTGCAGAAACCACCACAGATAAGCAGCCTCACAAGTAACCTGGCTCCATGGTATGGAGGACTTTAAAGGTGACAACCAGCACTTTGAACTTTTTTTTTTAACTTAAAAAAAAAATTAAACTTTTTTTTAAAGCTTTTTAAAACTTTTTTGAAATTGCAACTGGAGCTCTACTGGGAGCCAATACAGTTCATGTAGCAATGGTGTTACATGCATGTTCCTCTGAATCCTGGATCAGTTAAAACTTCTGAGTGCTCTTCAACAGCAGCTCCTTGTATAGTGTAATAGTTCAACTGGGAAGTGACTAAGGCATGAGTGACCATGAGCAGAGCTTCCCAATCTAGGAATGGGCACAACTGGCACACAGAATGTATTTGTGCAAAGACTGCCCTGGCCACAGCAGCCATCTGCTCCTTGAACTGGAGCTGTGAGTCTAGGAGGACCCCAGACTGCATAGCAATTCTGCTAGGGGAGGAGGGGTTATCCCATCCACAGTTATTGATGGGAGATCACTTGATACAGGGAGCCCTAAACCCACAGGCACTCAATCTTGTCAGGGTTGAGTCAAAACTTGTTCTACCCCACCTTGCAAGCTTGCACAGCTTTCAGGAACTGGGAAAGCACTTCAACAACAACACTTGGATAGCCCAGAGATATATAACTGGGTATCATCAGCATACTGATGATACTTGACCCTGTGCCAACAAATGAGCTCCCTACATCACAGATGAGGGAGACCTTCTTACAGATTGATCTGGCATTTAGCAGTGGCAGGCTAAACCCAGGCTCACCAAAGTTCAGATGGCCAGGTCTTGGGGTTGAACACAGGGGGCTAAAACACAGCATCAGTAGTAAACACTGGGGCTTCCCCAAGAGTGGCCTGCCCTCTGTCTCCTGCCATATCTCCCCATCCCCATCACCACAATGATGTTATTGCCTATCTTCTTCCTAATTACAACATCCATCATGCTGACGCTCTCCCAACCTCCCCCAAGTCAAAGGGCCCCATCACAACCCACCATACAAACAGGCAAATAATAGGCTGGTTCCGGCATGCAAGCACTTCTGCCCAGCACTCAGCGCCTAACCAATCTGCTCATTTGTCATCTGTGCTCGTGGAGGTGGATCTGAGAACAAAAGTACACATTACATAATTGATACCATTTTTTTAAAAGTCACACTTTTGTTAAGTGTACATTGCAGGTGAAATAGCTCTGATCTGTACAGAGACTGAAGTACAAGCCACAGATTAACTCAAAAAAGGTGCTACCTGGCTTTTGTACTATCCTGATGAAAATATAATGGAATACAGGATTTGCAAAAGACTATAATATAATAGAAATAATGTTTCATAGATTATATATAATTAATTTAATCTATTTTGTATCAATGTTTCAGCATCTTTTAAAAGCCATATCTATATAACTCTGATCATTAAAAGCTGACATTTTACGTAACAATGTGTAAGAAACTCTACCTTGCACTAGTTACACAAGGATCAGGTGTAAGCAAGAACTGCCATCAATATAACAGAAATAAGAGACTGATTTAACAGAGAATGTCACTATACAAAAATGCTGAGCTGCATGAAGCACAGCCTTTGCATAAAGGCTGCCCAAAATTATACACACATTAATACACACATAGTTTTCTTGGCAACAATATGGACGTGGTTTACCTCTTTTTACCTCTGCCTTCTTCTATCATGTTTTTTCCACTTCTCAGTGTATAGTAATCTAATATTTGAAGAGCTCTGTAAAATATATGCAGAACATATTTTTATATGCCATTGATATGTATCTATAATTTTATTTTGCTATATCAATGGAATTACATTAAGCTATCTTAAATTAAGATAGAGTGGTGATTTTTCAGGCTGAAGTACTCAAGTATTTTTATTGCCATGTGTTTAGACTAGGCAAAGCAAATGCCCAGTACTGCAGAGTCATAAAATTGGCATTTTAGAGGAACTTCAGCTAACTTTTATATGCCATTGATATGATATAGATTCATATACTATGTATGGCTTGGTATGATGCTATGCTAGCTATACTAACTATAAGAGCTATACTATACTGGTTAGTGTTATATGTGAACTTGGCCACTATTTCACATCATGCAAAGTGGAATTCATGTTAAAATTCTACATCACTCACATTTTTGCTTTTATCACAGAGTCATTATGAAAACCTATGGCTATGTCCCTATATTTTACAAAACGTAACTAATTCATAGGAAATGGGAATGTATACTAAAGACTTTTAAATACTTAGATGAGACTTATAGATTTGTTCTTTCAGCTTTCCAATAGTGCTTTTGCCATGAAAAATGTGTCTTTCTCTTCTTTTTCATCATAGCATTTTGTTCCTGGAAAAGTTTGTTAGAAACATACCTTAAGAACTGAGTTTGTATACAACTCTAATACTTGATAGCATCAACCATATACAGTGGTACCTCTACTTACGAACTTAATCCGTTCCGTGACTCTGTCCGCAAGTAGTGTGGGTCGCAGGTCAAGGTAAATTTCCCAATAAGTTCCAATGTAAATACGGTAAACCCGTCCCGCCCGCCGAATTTGGTC